TATAATATAAAAGCGTAAAGACAAAGTGCTTTGGGTCAACTTTTCTGAATGCTTTTTCACTCTTCTCACTTCTAGCCTTTAAGTCAGCTGGTTTACGCCTCATCCTGAATTCAGCTTTGAAAAGCACAGACACCAACCACCATCTGTTTCCCTCTGTTCTCTTTCAGGCCGGCTGTTTCTTTAAGGCTGCACCGGCCCCTCAAAGTGTGAATAATATTCAGTCAGGAGTAACGCTTAAGTGGGAAAGCTTTTAGCACATTATCCACTGGCCAATTGCAAGGTAATCTAATTTGGCGGCACAGGTCTCTTATTAAATATCTGCAGCATCGGATTTGCATTCAGGAGTCTCCTAATGGGTTTAGCCGCTCCACGGATCTCTGGCTCGGTGTTTATGTGAGCCGCCATCTCGGGGAGAGGAGAGAGAGAGAGTGACATTGAGGAAGAGAGGTGAGCCTGTTCCCTACACACACACACACACACACACACACACACACACACACACACACACACACACACACACACACACACACACACACACACACACACACACCGCAGACACAAACACATCACAGTCAGCGTTCTGATAACATGATGCCTTCAGGTGCTCCTTGGAAACCTCTACTTCTTTGGTGCCCTTATGTCTGTAAAAACATGATTTAAAGGACCTTTAGCCCAAAGTGCAAGAACACATGATGCATCAGAGCCCACCAAGTGGAGAAAACAGAATAAAGTTCCCTCTAGATGGCCCTTTCACCGGAGAGAAAATACATGATGTTATATCCTCAAAGTTTCTGGCAGGAAAAAAAAACCCAAACGTGATTTAGTGATATTAAGGATGCTATAGGGGAGTAAAAGTTGGGAGGATGGGATGAATACCCCACTTGTGGAGAAGACGGTGAAGTGCTCTCCAGTGGAGAAAACACAATAATGGTCTCTGTAGGATGTCCCTTGTAGTTGAGAAAAAGTAATTCATTGTTCTTATGTTGCTTTTTTGTGCGTTGCAGATGCATGTTGCAGGTCTTTTAAAGATGCCCTTCTAACAGAGAAAACAAAACAAAGAGCCTATCAGGTGGAGAGTTCAATACACTACCCTTTAGGTAGTAGCTTAGTCTGTAGGGACTTGGGTTGGGAACTGGAGGGTCGCCGGTTCAAGTCCCAGCACGGACCAAAATATGTAAGTTGGACTGATAGCTCACTCCCCGAGTACTGCAGATGGGACCGTAAGCAAAGCCTCCATGTCCCAACAGCTCTGCCCTTTCCCTGTGTAGCAGCCCCACTCGGACATCTCTCCTTTAAAGCATGCTCCACAGCTCCTGTTTGTGCATGTGTGTGTACTTTGGGCCCATGTGTGTGAGAAGTGTGTCTCTCAATAGCTGAGTGTAACCAGAATTTCCCCTCTGGGATTAAAAATTCACGATCAATCAGGTGTTCTGCCCTTCCAGTGCAGATCGCCACTTGAGGGTCCTTCTATTGGAGAAACAGAATAAAACTCTCTAGAGTAGCAATGAAATGGAGGAAATATGAAAAAAAAAAGCTCTAGAATGACCTCAGTGGAGAAAAAGCGATGCAGCTTGCCCATCCAGTTGGTAGAAAAAACTGTTGCTGTGTCCTCTAGTGGAGTGGACAAGTGGCCTTCAAGAAGTCGATCATGCTAGTTAAGAGTTAGGCGCTCTGTCACCATCATGCTCTTTACCCATGGTGCCTCTCTCATCATCCCCTTCCTGCAGCTGACGCTCTGACTTTAGCGTTCCACTCCTCTGGTCCTCAGGCGCGCTCAGCCAAGCGTTAGTCAGACGGTATCAGCTGAGTTTTTGAGGAAGAAAAAGAACTTGATAAAGACTATCGTAGGTGACGTCTAGACCAGATTCAGTCCAGATAAAGTAAACAAGCAGGGGGGAATTTTAAAAAAAATTAATTCGTCAATTACACTCGACAGATTTCTTCTTCTTTGGTATAACATAAAATAAGATGATCAGGCTGGTCTGTTATCAACAGTAACACCAACTCAACTGCTGCTGTTAGAAGAAGGCCGTGAAAAATAACATGAATTTCCTGTTGTCACGAGTGTGTGTCTGTGTGTGTGTATGTGCGCGTGTGTGTGTGTGTGTGTGTGTGTGTGTGTGTGTGTGTGTGTGTGTGTGTGTGTGTGTGTGTGTGTGTGTGTGTGTGTGTGTGTGTGTGTGTGTGTGTGTGTGAAAGATTAGGGCTCACTGGTGTGTGTCACAGAACGGATTAACCCAAGACTGCTGCTCCTGCTCTCAGTAATGTGTGTGTGTGTGTGTGTGTGTGTGTGTGTGTGTGTGTGTGTGTGTGTGTGCGTGTGTGTTGTAGAGGCATTTCTCACAGTTGCTGAGGGTCTCACACACCTCACATCACATAATGAGGGCAAAAAAAAGCAGAATCGGCGCGTTCAGTGTCAAGAATAAGCTCAGAGAAAGTTCATCCACAAGTGAATATCAGCCTATTTTCTTATTTTAGCTTTCGAGTCACTCTACAGGAGGCGGGTTTTAAGCCTCCTGACAAACCGTTACACTGCGCCCGCCTGTCAATCAGGTCAGCTAGGTGCCTAACTCTGGATAACACGTATCATTCATGAAATCAAAACGGAGCCGTATCGTACAGTGTGTGTTGATCGAGACATGAGCTAATCAGACCTGTTTGGTTTTTTGAACCAGGCTGTAAACATGTTAATCTCTGCTGTAAAAACAGGCTTTTGAATGTGTGTATGTGACTTCCAGTGTTCCTGGAGCCAGCCTCTAGTGGACACTTGAGGAACTGCAGGATTTTACACTTCTGCATTGGCTTCATTTTTAAACCTCGGCGGTTGCTGCTTTCTCCAAACAAATTAATTGACCGCTCACTCGATCACTTCCCGCTCACTTCCGGCATTTGGTACATCCCGTTTCCGACAACATGTTGTTCTGCATCTTGTGAATGTGTTTTCTAAATCGTAAAAAAAAAAAACGGGAGAAGTGTTTTTGCTTTTGTAATTTTGTTTTTTTTACAAAATGTAAATTTGTCTCAAGCTTTGCAAAAGTGTTTCACACTTTGTAATTTTGGTTTGCACCTCCCAGTCACCGTACTGTTCAGATATACGACGGCCGTCTTTGTTGTGCACGTAGACGACCTCTGACTGTGTGACACGTCTGACAGAGTAATACATGAAGTGAATAGTCCCACTGCTGCTGTACGGCAAACAGCTGCTTAATGGCCTTAATTAGATTGGCTTCATTGATTGATTAAATGATTTGACTTAATTATCAGAACATTTGTCTTGAGTTACAAGACGTACCTCATCCCACAACGACTAAAAACCCAAAGAAACAAACATGACGTAAAATATCGCTTCACATATTTACAAATATGTGACCACAGCTTCTCTTTGAGGAAGATTCAAGTGGGTAATGTGAATATTATTCCTCTAATATTTCATGGTTTGAATTAATCCAGCTTTATTTTGTATAAATATCAGAATGTATTGCTGACTTTTAATTTGGAAACTTTAACAACAGTAATGTTTATTATATGCAGTGATGTAGTGGAGCCTAAAGAATGTATCCAGCAGAGGATAGACGGCTTTAAAATGCTTTTTGGTGTTTATTTTTGTGGACAGAGGAAGAGAAGCTGAGATGACATTTCTGCACGATGAACAACAGGCAGTCAGAGAGTCTACACGGTTCTTGTTCTCTGCAGGGGCTTTGGCCCTCAGTAGCCTGTGTTTAAAATATTTTAATATACATTATATTTCTTATTCATCTATAAAAAAAAACATTTCAGGCAACCCCACATGGACAGTGGGGATTCTAGAGTCTGTTGGGACCCTATAGGTGAGAAATTCACAGGGGCCCCTCCAACTGTAACGTTCATCACCTATAAAAACAAAATTGTGAAAAATGAACAATTTTGCCAAAGTTAACATTGGTGTTGTTTTCAAAATATAAATATAAAAAACTTTAATTTTCAGAGACAAACCTAGGCGACGCTTAGCAGCACAATGAGAGTGAGTGCTTTCAGATGGGGTTCCCCTCCTGTGAAGCACATTTTTTAAGCCACTCCTGATGATGAAAGATTGTCAGCCATTGGGGGCCCCCTTCTGTCCCGGGGCCCAGAGCCTTGCCTATATGGACGAGCAGCACCTTTGATTATTGGATGTTACTGACAGGAAGGATTTATGGTTTTGAGATATTGAATTTCTCGGCCTCTCTACACGCTCAGATATTCACACAGATTTTGAAAGCATCACCTTTCTGCTGCCATTAATAACCAAACAGCACCATCTTGGGCGAGCGTCTCCTGTGCTGACATAAAAAAAGCTTTCTGACCCCTAACATGTGGTCTGGGGCCCTCCAGGGGGTCCAGAGCAAGGATAAGAATATAAAGTTAAATTAACTATTTTTCCCCATTTTGCGAGGAAATGGAAGATGTGCATTTATTTTACTTAGCTGTCATCACCTAAAGACAGTTTGAAGTTGTAAAGATTTCACATATTTCCCCTCTTCGACCACAAACTCTCTCCGGGGGTCTTGGGGGGGGGGGGTGGACCCCTGACAGCTCCAGGTTTTTTTTTAATTGGCTGCTCGGTATCAGAGCTGCTGCGGGACACTGGGAGTGTGACGTGGAGGGAGAGGCAGTGATTGGAGGGTTAGAGTGGAATTATAAAGGGGAGGGTTGGGTCGGTTTGAAAGCTTCCCAAAGAGCAACCGGCCTCAGATGTGACACCGAAGAAGTCAGCGGAGTCAGTCCTCCTCCTGCTTCCCTTCAACATGCATCCCGCCAGACTCACAGCCCGGCAGTGACAACAAGTGCTCCCACAGAGGCGAGAGAACTTCTCCGTGTGAGCGATCTGACTGTGCGTAAAGAGCGAAAACAAGGACAACACTTGTGCGTATTTTTCCTTCCCGGGAGCTAAAAAAGAAAACAGGCGGAGCTGAGCGTTCCTGGAGGATTTTCTTTTTATTTAAAGGGAAATATCTTGAAGACTTTTTCCCCTCCCCACTGACATGGAGTACACGTCTTCCCCGAAACCGCAGCTCTCATCCCGGGCGAATGCTTTCTCCATAGCCGCCCTGATGTCCAGCGGGAAGCCAAGTAAGGACAAGGAGGCGGAGGAGAACACCATCAAACCGCTCGGTAAGGATGGGTGATTAAAAACTTAATACAAGTTCAAATCAGGTGCGAGATACCGGCTGTAAATGGTTTTGTTTAGGCTACATGGAGGATGTAGTTATAGGCTACATGGAGGATATGAAGGAGGAGACAGGGCCGCTGCAGCAGCTTTAATAATAAATAAAATTACAACAAACATGTTGACTCTTTTGTTAAAAGATGTGTTTAAACCGTGGGAGAAAATATAAAAGAAGTTAAAAAGGGTTAAATAAGCTGTCAGATGAAACTGACGTAAGAAGATCTGGAGCTGCACGCTATACGTAAATCTAAACAGTGCATCATTTCTTCACTATTTCACATTTAATTCTCTACATACCACCTTATAATTAAAAATAAAGAATAAAAAGTGCCACATAATTAATCTGGAGTCTTGTTATAAAAAGACTATCATGGTTTGTACACTGTAAGTTATTCATTTAATATTATTTAACCCCATTTTTTTTTTTTTTTTTTACAAATGAGTAAAAATTAAATGTGGTTAAATGATTCGTTTCGATGTTTATACTGTTTTTATTTTTTTAAGTGGATTCTTTGACTATATATAAATTGTCTAATTAAATAGGCTCCAATGTTTTTGGAGCTTTAACGACTGTGACAAATAAAATATCAGCAACATTGTTAGTTTTTAAGTTAGTTAATCATTTAATAATATCTTATTAGGCATTAGGGGTCATTATTTGTGCACTTTCGTCCAGTTTTTAATTAACATTTGAGATGGATGTGTGTGCTAAAATAAATGTGTGTGTTTTAAGAAATAAAAAGGCAGGACAAGCAGTTTATATATTTATTAATTCAGCTGTTTTTTCTGTTATGGCTGAATTGTCTTCCCCTTTCAGCTTTAATGCATCAAATAGAAAAATGCTGCTAATTTAGGCTGTTCCTTATTTGACCTTCAACACACATGTCATGATAATTAAGCCCACGTTAAAAAAAAATAAGTAATTAAACTATAGGCTGCATGATGACAGGCTCAGTGTTTCTATTATCAGGCTGTGTGATTTCACTCCCGGGTCTCTGTCTCCTCTGAAACCACACAGAGCAGTTCGTGGAGAAGTCGTCCTGTAACCAGCCGACTCTGGCCGACCTGTCCTCTCTGGACGGGCACGGGGACTTCAGCGGGAGCGCGCCCGCGGTCTGCACCGAGCCGCTCATCCCCACCAATCCCGGCATCCCCAGCGAGGAGATGGCCAAGATCTCGTGCAGCCTGGAGACCAAAGAGCTGTGGGACAAATTTCACGAGCTCGGTACCGAGATGATCATCACCAAATCTGGAAGGTAACCCGGTTCACTTCATTTATCTATTTGTTTTTACTTATTTTACAAACCAACATGTCTTATAACAACAATATTAACCCCCCCAAAAAATAAAAGACTGTATTGCAAAAGAAAATCACAATAATTACATTAATCATGATTATGCCTATACCTAAATAAAAGCTACGTGTAGCCGATTATCATGCATGATTTAAACGTGCATTTGTATTGTTTCGATCTCTGTAATGTTGTTTATTTGCTGCACAAATATACACAAACTAGACACGTGTGATCAAATGTGCAAACATGTAGCCTACACACAGGCACGTGCAGAAAATACACGAACACAATATTAGACAGTTTTAAGTTGTAGGCCTACTTATCACATATTCTTATTTCTACTTGTATAAGCTAGTTCTTCTGCTTTATTGTGAAGCCTTTAAAAGCACCTGTAACGATTTTGGGTTTGTCCCCGAGGATTTATGATATCAGACACAAAGCATCTGTATTATTCCAACAAAACAAGGGGGACAACATTTACACTCTCATATTGGGATTCAGTGTCACGTTTTCATGTAAATAAGTAAAGTGAATAGCTGCTCTGGTTGGTTTCAGTCAGATGCACGACAGAGTATGACATCCTGGCTGTGCAGTTTCTCACAACCTGGAATATGTTTGCAATGTATGTATTGAATATATCTTTGTTTTAAAAGATAGCCTAAAATTTGAGGATGATAAGACTATTTTTTTCTGACGTAAACAAAAAAGAAAAAAAAATGAAGAATTCACTATTAGCGTAAATAGACTTTATTCCAACGTATCTAGAACGCTTCGAGGAATTGCAGCATGGAAATAAAATGTATTGCTGTTTGAATAAAACACAATATAATACTATTAGGCTATTAATAAAAATGTGTCTGCGCAGCGTTTGCGAAGAGGGAGAAGAGATGCGATCAGAATTTCAAAAAATAAACTACAGCCCTGCAGGAGCGTGATGGAGACCTGGTTTATTTGTATTTATTTAATGTTACAGGGACTATGCACATTCGTAACATTTCTGTAATTAGCCATAATGGTTTGATCATGTGCAAAAGCATGCAAAATGCAACTATTTCTATACGAAGGATGTTCATAAAAAAAATTATATTACCTACTTATTAGACTAATATTCTCACCAAACCCACTTTTAACAGTAAACTCACAATGATAAACAACACCCAACACATTTGATCTTCATCCAGTCTGCACTTTAAACGGTCCAGTCTCCGTGTTTCATTTAAAGTCTCTCATTTGTTCAAGTCTCTGTGATCACTGAACGACAACAATGATGATAATCAAGTGTCACCTGTCCATCAGGAGGATGTTCCCCACCATCCGGGTATCTTTCTCCGGGGTGGACCAAGACTCCAAGTACATCGTGTTGATGGACATCGTGCCGGTAGACAATAAGCGGTACCGGTACGCCTACCACCGCTCCTCATGGCTGGTGGCCGGCAAGGCTGACCCTCCTCTGCCCGCCAGGTAGGCTTCACACAACCCACACTGTAGGATACACCTCCCGGTCCCGGAACTCACCTGAACACGACACACTCAATATCCTCTGGAAGAGTAGCCTAAATTAAGAAAGGGATTTTTTTCAGCACTGAAAGCAATTATAATATTTATTTATATGGCCTATTTTATTTTACGTTTATTTAAGCAGGACGTCTGTCTTTCAAAATAAAAGGGTCATAATTGTAATAAACTTTATTTAAATAATCATATAGCCTACAATACAAATGAACAATAAGGCCCTAGACATTTCTGCATATCCAGGCATCTGATTAGTCCGTTTCTGAGAGAAGCCATAACCATCAAAAGAAACAGCCACACACACATCACACAGCCTGATAATAGAAACACTGAGCCTGTCATCATACAGCCTAAATAAAACCAACAGCTTTATTTGTCCCCCAGGTGTTGCTGTGTGGTAAAAAAAAAATAACTAAAAATAAAGTAGGCTAATAATTCTAATAAACGAACGAATCATACCTTCAGATAAGGGGAAAACTCTTTTAAAAAAAACAGAGTAGCCTATTTTTCTCTTTATTTAAAAAAAAAATGTAACAACAACTGGCGAAGAAAATTAAAGGTCAAAGAGCTTTACGGGACAAACAGATCGCCTAATTGAGCCTAATTGAGACCGATTAAATAATTCAGTTCAGCATCTGGAAACTTTCATACCAAGCTGATTACAAGTTAAAGCACCCAGGCATGACAATGGGGTCATGTTTTAGCCTATATTTCTGGACAATGTAAGGCTGTTTTTTAGGGCCGATAATGTAGACTACAATTTAAGTCAAACTCAACAAGTTCACCGGAACAAAAATAAACATTGTACCGTTATTAGCATAAGTCTACTGGTTTCATTCGTAGTTTTTAACAAAGAGAAAAAATAGATTTTCTTTTTGTGTCCGTGTCTTAGACCGGGATTTCAACGGCCTTTTATTAAAATAAAGCCCTTCAGAAATCCCCGCATAAACAAAAGTCCACAGTTGGATAATCAGAGGTTGGAGAGATAAATATTTAGATTATAAATATTATTTTATTTATGTATATGATTTTAACACATTCGTGGGAGAAAATTATGTATTTCGTTTTTTGTTTCATTCACAAACAAGTTTAAAAAAAAAAAAAAAATGTAAATCCTGAAAAATGTTTATTTCCACTTGGAGACGTTTAACGTTTATTTTTCCCGGAGATAGAACGTGGTTGCTAAGCGATATGACATTTCTCAGTTGGAGCTAGATGGCAACCGATTGCTGATTGGGCATCGAACGTTCGAGTCGAGCGCCTCTCAGCCAATCACAATCCGCTGTTCATCTTCTATTTCTTCCCCCTTTGCAGGTTGTACGTTCACCCGGACTCACCGTTCACCGGAGAGCAGCTGATGAAACAAATGGTTTCCTTCGAGAAAGTCAAACTGACGAACAACGAGCTGGACCAACACGGACATGTGAGCGCTTGTTTAATTTATAGAGATTAAAAACGTACCGTGTCAACCCACGTACCGTGTTTATAGAGGCTTTAAGGTTACGCAACAACGTAAAAAGCGTAAACAATCTACCGTTTGCTGAAAAAAAAACTGCTGAAGTTTTGAATTTTATTTCGACCAAAACGAGCAAATAAAATAATTTTAATGCTTTTTTTTTTATTTTTTTAATGGAATATGTTAAATTCAGACGGTTCTCTTTAAAACATTGTGTGTGTCTGTCTCGTTCAAAGGCCGGTGAAAACCCTTTGTGACGTTATAATTACACACCTGACAGGAGCAAATCACCCTTTTAATCCTCCTTTCACTTGGTGCTACACTCATACCCTTTCAGGTCAGACAGACACATTTAAAATGTTATCCATTGATGAGCCAACCACACACACAGCCTGGGAAAAATAGAATTTACTGTATTATTATCACCTGGGGCGTGTGTCACACTTTATTACCTGTCCAAAAATAGCTGCCAGGCAAACACTAAATGCTAGCAGCCAATAAACACATGCACACTTAGATTTTGGATTCACAGTATTTTAATCCACATTATGCTGTAGGCCTATTTGTGCATGGGCTTTCTGCAGTGAATATACAGCTTAAACATGAAGGAGTAAAAAGCAAAACTAAATCTCTATAATAAATACATTTGGAAGTCATTTATTTTTTATTTTTTTGTAGTATTTTTTCCCCTTTTTATTTCTGTTTTTGTTACATAGTTATAAGTGCTGCCAGATTAGACATTTGAAAAGTCTTCAAAAGATGTTTGTAACACAACAAAAATACTTTAATATTGGTAATATTATATTGGTAAGGTTGGAAAAAATCAAGACGCCATTGTCGTTCGATGTAAAATTTTCTGTCTTTGTTTTTTTCTGTCTTCTTTCAAAATGTACTCATGCCCCCTCCACTAAGAAGCACCGCCTTTTTTAATTATTACTTTGAGTTCTAAGAAGCCCTCGTCTTCTGGGGCTTTTCATTTGTGTCTTCATAAAAACGTCTTCTGTTAATTTAAAACCACAATCGGCTTTATTTGCCGGGTATGCTCGCTCACATGGGGGACTGTGCTCTCTGTGTACAAAAAAGTACAACATTCAAAATCAACTATAAACCAAAGATGAATATGTCCAAGACTAACTGAGACAACCGTGCAGTGGTGAGTGGTGCAAAAGATGCTGAAATAAGCGTGATGATAGAAAATGTAATTATGTAACCGAGGGGATAATTTACACGAGGTAGAGAGTTTTTGCAGTGTGCATAGATTGATCATTAAGTATGCTGCAGCCTGTAAAGACAATTTTAATCCTCATGAGGCTATCCTGGTTCAAAAAAATTGAAGAGAAAATTAAGAATCATACCAGTCATGAAATGTAGTGTGTTGCTGAGGGACGAATCAATTACTTTATTCAGTGATCTGCGCAGTTTAAACTGATTTAACCTGAAAGGATCATTGGAATTAATACCCATTGTGACTGAAATCTTCTACTCATCCTCCACCTTTCAAAAACAATCACCATGACAACCATATTTTTTTTAAAGCATTTTACACCCTCTAGGAGTTTGGTGTTAGATTTAAGTTGTAACTTCTGCCTTTGTTGGATCCATCTCTGCTGGTGCAACGCCTTAGATCATCAGCAGTTCGTAAACTCAGTCCTAAATTAGAAATCCTGTTCAAACTACGTTATTAATTTACTCATCGCTGGTGCCACCCGGTGCTGGACTGAAATATTTTGGTTATTGGGTTAAATTATGAAAACCGACACCAGGAGAATTCTGTAGCTTCACGGTCTGACTCTGAGAGCCGTACGTTTACCCGTGTCCTTTACCTGTCTGCAGATCATCCTGAACTCCATGCACAAGTACCAGCCGAGGGTCCACATCATCAAGAAGAAGGACCACACCGCCTCGCTGCTCAACCTCAAGTCTGAGGAGTTCCGCACCTTTGTCTTTGTGGAGACTGTCTTCACTGCCGTCACGGCCTATCAGAACCAGCTGGTGAGTGACCAACCAATGAGTGTGTACCGTCATGAGCCTCTTGTACAGGTACATTTAGAGGTCAGCTAGAAAATACAAAATACATGTTTTTTCACAACAATTATATTATTGTTTAAACAGATTTTATCTCTTTTATATTCTTTATTTCTTATTTATAATAGTTATTTTTTCCTATTTTTTTTTTATATTCCTATTCTCCTAACTGCTATATTGTGTATAAAACCAAAAGCAACAACCGAAAGTCCCTGAGGTTATAAATGAAGTTTCCTGATTCTAATCAGGATGAGCGTTCATTTCATCATGTCTTACATATCTTGATTATCCCGAGATGATGAGTCATGTAAGTGAAACTGGCCAATCACAATCTGTAATTTTATATTTTTGTAATTATTAATATATTTAAAAATAGTGAAAATGCACATTAATGAATATAAACATGTAAATACATTTCACCACAATGAGTTCATAGTTCATTAGTTTACAGACATGTTCACACGAGCATGCGGGACGGGTTTGATACAGAGAAACGTCTTTCAATCATTTTTTAAAAAAACAACCAGGACGTCTGTGTGGTGGAGCGCTTTGTATCTGTGTTTGTGTCACCACTGATGTGGATCGTATCATTTTTCTGAATTAAAAACAAACATTAAAAGCTTTTGTTGGTAGGAAATATGTGTTTGGATTTGTTAAGACGTTCATTTACTAACGTGATGCTGTGTTTCGTAATGGCTTCAAATCAGTTCATTCTTCTTTCTTAAATAAATAAATCAAATGAAACAGAGATTTACAGACAGATTTTTACTTGCATGCTAGATGTAAACATCGCTATAAATAAGTGTGAATCCCTTTAATGCCCGAGCTCTTTGTGTATGTGTTAACTGCAGAGAAAAGTGAGGAGCTGCCGCAAAGAGCATGTTGAGGCGAGATGACAGAGAAGAAAACAAACAGATTTAGATTATTATGAGACAGATTTAAAGTGAAACTTGAGAGACAGAAGAGGGATAAAAAGAGAGAGAGGGAAATTAGAAAAAAGAGAGGGAGAAACCCTAACCGTTTTTTTCTCTCCGTGTGTTTTCAGATCACCAAACTGAAGATCGACAGCAACCCGTTCGCTAAAGGTTTCCGGGACTCGTCGCGGCTCACAGACATGGAGAGGTACAGGGGATTCTGGGTCCTGCACTGTTTGTTTACAGCCCATAAGATGAACGACTGTGTGTGTGTGTGTGTGTGTGTGTGTTAGCCTGCTGCTCGCGACTAAACCACAGAAACTGCAGTGTTTGTTTCTCAGATTCATCGTGGTCGTTCTTTTTCTCTCTATCTCTACACTTCGTCTTATTTCTCTTCCACATTCTCTCCTCGCTGGTTTTTTTCTTTCAGTCTTCTTCACGTCTTTTATTCTGTGCCTCTTTGTGCTCCTTCTTTGTTGTCTTTTATTTATTTTTCTTTCATTTCATTGTTCTGATTTTTCATGTTCATTCACCTCTTATTTACTTGTCTTTCTTTCTTTCTCTTTGCCTTATTTTGTTCCATTTCACTTCCTCTTTCTCCAGTTTGTAATTGAAGTCTTTCCTTTTTTCTGCCCCTTTAATCCAGGCCTTTCACTATTTTTTACTTCTTTCTACCCTTCGTATATTTTAACTTCTGTCCTTCTTCTTTTTTCTCTCCCTTAATTTATTCCTTTTTAGACTCGTTCTCGCAGCCTTTAATCTCTCTCCTTTTTGCGTCTTTTATATTCGATCCCTTCCTCTTAAATTCTTTCTTTTCATTTCTCTTCCTCCCTGTTTTCACTCTTGTGTTTCTAGCTCTTTATATTTTTTTAAGCTCTTCTCTTTTGTTTTGTCTTCAACTCTTTTCTCTTTCGTCATTTTTTCTTCACCGCTCTTTTCTGTCATTCTTTCCTGTGTATGTTCTTCTGTTTTGATCCTTTCTTTTTCTCCTTTAACTTTTTTTTGTATCTTATTTTATCAGATAAATAACTGATATATTTATTTCTAACCTACCTTATCCTTCTCTCTGCTTTCTCTCTGCTCATTTGTTGTTTCATTTTTAGAACTTTTGTCTTTCCTTTCTGGTCTTTCTTTCCCTCATTCTCTTCTTTTCTATTTGTCTTTTTTTCTCTTTCTTTCCCTTTCCTTCCTCTCTTGCATTCATTTTGTTTTTATGATATACAGTACATCTGTTGGTGTATTTTACTCTTTGTGCACGAGGCTAATGCGTCACACAAACAAACAAACACACTTCCAGTTATAAATCCCAGTCTGAAGGATTTTTATGGACGCTGCCAAAACACACACTTCTCGTAATTCCTGATTCCGGCACTACGGCTAAAATCAGCTGACAACATCAAACCATCCGTCCATTTCCCTTCAATCAGACGTCCTAAAGCAGAGGCAGCCGAGACACAACGAGACACAGCGCCCTCCTCCTCCTCTTCTTCTCCTTCTCTATCTTTCTCTTTTTGAGGGCTGTGAATTAGACCTGATCAATTGATCTTCGGGGAGCTGCAGAAATCACATTAGTCTGGAGTCGGCCACTGCACTAAAACACACTGTAATTCAATTGGCTGCTGTGACTGATTGAAACCAGCATGTCCCGTCTCCCCTCGGCCCTGCTGTGCATTGTGGGAGTTTGCTGTGGCCTCTGTGCCGGAGGGGCCCGACGCTGATAAAAACACACACATTTGTACTCCTCCGCTGACAGATATTGCACTTTCCTAACCTAATTGGGGGGACGGGGGGCTGCAGAGGGGGGGCTGATAATGTGGACGCATGGCTCTCATGATGCAGACCACTCGCCTGTCTGACCACACACACACACACACACACACACACACACACACACACACACACACACACACACACACACACACACACACACACACACACACAGGCGTGCACAGTACTTCCCCCAACAATTTGTGTCACTGTGTCTGAGAAGTGCGTTCTGACAAGACTCAAATGAGCTAATGCTCTTTGTGAGACAGGAAATACACACACACACACACACACACACACGCTAAAAATCACATGCACACTCTACACAAACATGACTCCACGTAAACTAAATTAATACATCCATGTAAAAGAATATGGAGAAAAAAAAAAGAACTTCTCAGCTCTTCAGCTTCACTGTTGTCGTGCCAAAACCAAACACTTAGTCCTTTTTTTATTTTGAGCATTCTTTAAAATTGTAAATGACTAAAAACATATTTGAGAAAAAGAAAGAAAAAGATTTCTCTGTTCAAAGACACGGGGATCACAATTTTTGTCAGCAGTTCCTAAAATATTTAACCAGAAAAGTTGATTTGTTTTTGATCTGAACTGGGTTTTATTTTTTTTTTTAATTTACGAGAAGTTGTGACTCGCTGTCCGTTTTTGTCTCTCAGAAATGATGTCAGTGAGGCTTCCTTTGATAAACACATAAAACTGACTGTTCACAGGCGGCGGGGTAACTCTGTTCTGTTAGAGAAAGTTATCCTGTTTAAAATGTTCGCTCGCTGCTTGTTGCAAACGCTCTTGTTTACATATTTTTGGTGTAATGTTTTTATTTGTTTGTAACTCTAACATGAAAAAAGAGATTTATTTCGGGGCTCTCTCTTCGACTTTTGCTGCAGGGAAAGTGTTGAGAATCTGATCCACAAGCACTCGTACGCCAGGTCGCCGATCCGGACCTACGCCGGCGACGAGGAAAACCTGAGCGAGGACGGACTCTCGGTACACGCCAGAGGTGAGTGAAGGTCACACCCAGAACTGAACCTGCCAGCACAAAATACAGGATATGAGAGGGATCCTACAAAACAAAATACAGGATATGAGAGGGATCCTACAAAACAAATTACAGGATATGAGAGGGATCCTACAAAATAAAATACAGGACATGAGAGGGATCCTACAAAATAAAATACAGGATATGAGAGGGATCCTACAAAACAAAATAGAGGATATCAGAGGTATCCTACAAAATAAAATACAGGATACGAGAGGGATCCTACAAAACAAAATACAGGATATGAGAGGGATCCTACAAAACAAAACAAAATATGGGCGATGAGAGGGATCCTACAAAATAAAATACAGGATCTGAGAGGGATCCTACAAAACAAAATACAGGATATGAAAGGGATCCTACAAAATAAAATACAGGATATGAGAGGGGTCCTACAAAACAAAATACAGGATCTGAGAGGGATCCTACAAAACAAAATACAGGATATGAAAGGGATCCTACAAAATAAAATACAGGATATGAGAGGGGTCCTACAAAATAAAATACAGGATATGAGAGGGATCCTACAAAACAAAATACAGGATCTGAGAGGGATCTTACAAAACAAAATACAGGATATGAAAGGGATCCTACAAAATAAAATACAGGATATGAGAGGTATCCTACAAAACAAAATACAGGCTATCAGAGGGATCCTATAAAACAAAATACAGGATATGAGATTACTTTAACATTGATCTCTGTTCTTGTCTTCTTCAGGCTCTGCGTTCACCGCCTCAGACAACCTTTCCTTGAGCTCCTGGGTCACCACCACCTCAGGCTTCTCGGGCTTCCAGCACCCACAGACCCTGTCGGCCATGGGCACGGGAGCCGGCTCCCTGCCCCACCCCATCCAAGGCTCCCTGCCCCCCTACAGCCGGCTGGGCATGCCGCTGACACCCACCGCTCTGGCTGGGACCATGCAGGGCAGCGGGCCCTCCTTCCCGTCCTTCCACATGCCCCGCTACCACCACTACTTCCAGCAGGGGCCCTACGCCGCCATCCAGGGACTCCGCCACTCCTCCACCGTCATGACGCCGTTTGTATGACTCAATCCATGGGGAGGAGATGGGAAATCCTCACTCTGATACTCAGACACAACCCAGTGCAACCAGTTATTCCTCCACTCTGCCTCATCACTCCTCATCCTGTTTGTGTCTTTCCCTCCGGACTTTGTAAATAGTTCATCTGCAGACAGTGACTTGAACACGATGTGGCACACTGATCCAGAAAATCCAGAAACAACGAAGAACGGTGACGCCTCAGCAGGACTTATGTACACTTTGGAGACATTGTACAAACACCTACAACCTCATTACAAACTCTAAAAACTATTATGAAACCATGAAAGGAGCATGTTTGGACTTGGCCCTTGAAGAACAGAAAGTGGATTTTCAAATCCTCTCAACATTAACAATATTTAGAAGAGCCTGTCTGCCTCTGAAGATTTAAACATCCCTACTGACTGAAAGGTCTCCACCGAGGTTTAAAAGACGGCAGGCTGCAGTGGGAATCCTCCACAAAGCAGACTAGAATAATGATTGTTGGAAAAGACTTGTTTGATGCTGCACTGTGTTGGATTTCAGCGCATAAGAAAAGCGGAGCGTCCTCTCAGCTTTGCTCTGTTTTCCATAAAGGCGGCCATATGTACAGTTCAAACATCAAAGAAATGTATAAACAGTGTACAAAAATGTAAAAGCAACATTAACTCATACGAAAATTCTCACTGTAGAGTTCAAAAACGCATGCTGACGGCAGTAGACGAACACGCTGGGTAAACTTTATATGGGATGAATAAGATGATCTGTGACTTCCTGCGTACCTGAAAGGCTCGGTCACACCAGAGTTTAAATCAGCTGCTGCTAAATATGTTAATAAGGAAGCAAATCACACGAGGAACTTGACCAAAAAAAAACGACCTGAAAGCTTCCTGAGGGCAAACAGCCGACTTCTTCACTTTTACTTTACCTGAAATCTCTCCTGTCAGCGCCTCAGCTGCTGTGAGAACGCATCAGGAAATATTCAGGTGAATCCCCTCGAGTGAGTGAGAGTGCAGTCGGCCCACAAGCATAGACTGGATGCACCACTGTCTCCAACTATGCCTGCCCCCCTCGCCTGATCAGTGTCAGCATGTCAGTCGATCACTTTCTAGCAGGAGCATGTTTTTAATCTGAGGATCCTACACTCTGCTCCAGCTACTAATCCATCTGCAATCACAAAAAAAACATCTCTTACGATGTCGAGGAAAGGGAACATAAGACCCTTTGTTCACCGCACTAGTTCTTCAAACAGCTCCTGGATCAGCGAGCTTCTAAAGCGTTCTAATTTGAGTCGACGTGCTGATGAATCTCTGTGTTACTCTCTGGTGTGACCGAGCTCTAGTTAAGAGTCATTCAACCACAACACGAGTTCAAATAATCTGTTTAGTCATATTTTAAATCATCGGGAGCCACAGGTCATAAACCTGCCTCCCACTGGTCTTTTTAGAAAGTACAACAGCAGGTTTGATTTCATGTGTTTCTTTGTAAACAGAGTTTGTCAAGTTTGTCTCTGTCGTGTTTCAGTGGCCGTCTGTTGGCTGCAGCCTTTAGCAGCAGGTGTTGGCGAGCTGATTCATGGCTGCGTCAGAGCGTGTCGACAGGCCGTCCTCACCTGGAAATAATGACTCTGTGCTGTCTCATTTAAAACGGGCAGGAAGGGAAGAAGAGGCAGGAAACTACTGCTGACTCTGAGCACCAGATACAGCAGCTCCCTGGTGGAGGAATCAGAGTAAATGATTGAAAAAGGTGAACAAATTTAAAATGACCTAATCCACCTCGATGGATATTTAAAGATTAGTTATTAATATTTACATTTTCAGTCTACTTACTCCACAGCAAAAACTCTCCATCTCAACAGGAATGCCAAAAAACACGTTCGAGCTGAAGAGAAACACGTTTGCATCGCTTAATTTATTTTTAAACGTTTTATTTAACCAAAAATAAAATCTTCTTGTTGAGATACGAGATCTCTTTCTGAGAGAGTCCTGGATAAAGACGGCAGCAGGAGAGTTTCACACGGAGAACGAAAGAATGACCATAAACAGAAACTACTGTAAAACTTCAAAAACCCCAGGCTTTTATTTCCTTCAGTCTGTGGAATGACCCGGACAGACGTCAATATGAGACCGACCTTTAACTTTATTTCAAACAAAACTTTGCACAGCATAGATGAAAGAATATTTACCTGTGCACAAAGTTAGTTTAGAATAAATCATTAAATCTCGATTTTTAAGACAGTAAGTCGATCTGCTGCAGCGTCATTTATCAAGTATTTTCTGTTTTGCAAATTTTCCTCCATATTTTAAATCCATGTGAAGATAAAAAAAAAAAGAGAGAATAAAAAGGAACTGAAATAAATAAATTAAAAGGAAATAAACATTTTAGAAATAAGGGGGATTTCAGTCAGAAAACTCATGTTTGTATCCTTTAAATGATTTTTTTGTAGCAGAACTCAGTTTGTGTTCAGCGTCTCGGCTCCGTCCACTTCACTCCTCACAGTTTCAATGACATGCCGAAATCTGAGGAGTGGTTATGATGCGACCCATGTAAAGAGGCAATAGTCCTCTGCGCAGTGCAAAAAGGTTCAAATCCCACCTCGGCCCTTCGCTGCATGTCATACCTTACTCTCTCTGCTCCCAGCTTTTCCTGTCTCTCTTCAGCTGTCCTAAACATTAAAGGAAAAAGGCCCAAAAATGTTTTTTAAAAGAAAAAGAGCAAAGAGGGAGAGAGCGGAGATCTTAAATAGACGTAATATAGACGGCTAACTGGACGGAGGTGTTGTCAGGTGATTGTTGAGAATGATGAGTATCAGGTGTGAATTCACCGCAGCTCGCAGGCGTCGCATCTTTTTAATATAATAAAATCACTCTTGGAAAATGAGAACAAACACAGACGCATTTCCCCAAAAACGACGTTTCTGATGGACAGTTCTTTGCCGAGCGGCTGCAGCTGTTCATGCTCAGAGTTTAACTTTCAGGGTGCAGAAAAAAAAAGTTTGATGTTCTGTTCATGGAGCTGTGAGCGACAGATGACGGCACTGTGTGGACAAAGTTCATGTATCAAAGTGATGCACGAGCAGGTCAATCAAACACTGAACGCCCCATTTTAGTGACATTTACACGACTCCTCCGTTTCAATAATGAGCAACAAGTTGATCTAATCTGTAAATGTGAGAAACCCTCTCTGAAGCGTACGCACAACTCTGACTCCCCTCTGACTCATTTTGGGTTTTTTTTTTGTCTGTATGCCGTGATCTGAATACGACACCGGACGAAATTGTGTTTTGATGATTTTTAAGTGCAATATATTTATTTTGCTCTCTGGAAATATTGTGTAATGTAACGATGCCGCATTAAAAAAAAAAAAAAGTTATTTGTAAACCTTGAGAAATATATATATCACCACCCAAACCCTTCTGAGTTATTTGTTGTTTTTCACTCTGGTTGTCTGAACGTCTTCATGACATGATGGTTCAGCTTTCTGCATCACAGCAGACACTTTATTTGATTGACTGATTGATTGGTGATGATTGAACTTGAGCTTGTTTCTTTTCTCGTCTTCTGACTACTCAAAGAGCTTTTACCAGCAGATCACACCTACACATTCACACACTGATGGTAGAGGCTGCTGAGTAAAGAGTCCATCAGAATCAACTAATCTCATTCATACGCCGCTGAAAATGCAGAGGGAGCAACTTAGGGGTTAAGTGTCCTGCCCAAGGATACATCGGACATGTGGCTGCAGGAGCTGGGGATCGAACCCCCGACCTTCTGGTTGAGAGACGACCGCACACATTAATCAACTGAACAGCAAATAGCATCAACCTAAACACGCCAGGATTAGCACACAAGCTAAATTTCACCTGTAGTCATAAAGCAGGTGCTAACACATGAAGGAGCCTGTGTCACGTTTTATTGAAAGTCAAAGTAAAGTAAGACTTTTAATTGAAAAAAAACATCTTTAATGTCTTTATTTCTGTGTGGTCATTTAAATAATAATATTTAAATTAAATAAATTAAAATATTTCTGTAGATGTCATTTCATCATAATTTAAAGTGCAGTTTAATCACAAACACATCCTACACTGCCACCTGGTGGTCAGCTGTTGTAATAGGATTTACCTCATCTGGCCAATCAAAGTGAGCAGATATTTATTGGATATACTTTAAGAACAAATCTACAAAGAGCTACAAATAAAAGATCATGAAGTATAAAGAGCAGTTATTATTTATCTATTTGCACACGTATGAGATTTAATAGAATCAGATCATATAAATATAAAAAGGTGTGTCGTGTCAGGAGAGGTCAAGATGCCAGCGGGTTCCTCACCTTTCTTAAGAGACAATAAAGATGAAGAACGTCCTTACCCACATGTCATTCCTCGCTCTCTTCTCTCTCTCTCTCTCTCTCTCTCTCTCTCTCTCTCTGTCGTCTGTGATAAAACGAAGAGCGCTGTGATGTAAGGCATCTCAAGGCTTCAAAGACAGAAGCAGAATCTGGTTTGTACAGCGTGTCTCCATATTCCAAAACTGGGAGGATTGAAGCCAGGAAAATCTGTTTTTCTGTTTTGCACCGTTAGGCAGGACTTGTTCCAAAAAAAGAAAACCAAGTTTAGGCCTTATTTTTCTGGTTAAACATGAGATGTGCGACCTGTAAGACAAATACTGATCGAGCCAGACACCTTTGTATTTAAACTGTCGGACACACCCAATGTTTGCACTGTCTACCGTGGACAATGCGGATTTAAAGGCTTCAATGTTCTGTCTTGAGAAAATCATACATTTAGTTTTTTTCGGGGTTCAGCATCAGTTTGAGATCAACAAGAGCTCGGTGGAAAGAGTTAAAATCAGCCTGTAGCAATGAAAGGGCTTGATGATTGGAGGGTGCAGTGACATATAATATTGCATCATCAGCATAAAGATCAATTTAAAATTTTCAATATTTATACAGCCACCACCATCAGACTGTGTCGTCCCCACAACCACAGCCTGATGCCCAGCATCAACTATCAACCAGGAGAAATCCTTCCTTCATATTATCCCATATGCTCTTTTGTAAAGCGTCTCGAGATAACGCTTCTTGTGAATTAGCGCTTTACAAGTAATGATTGATTAACTGACAAAATGAACTGTGGATTAAATTACAACAATCAAACAAAAACATCCGTCAGAAAGCCTGAGGAGCTGTCATTGAATTATTAAAGCAAATCATAAATCATAAAGTTACTTTAAGGTTTAAAAGACTCAGAGCTCTCATACATAAACAGCATGTCCAAACGGGAGCTCGGAGATGTTTTAGGCATTTCAGGCATTTTGCCGACTCGTTCACTGCAGTGACAGAAGAGAACATAAAACACAACAGGCAGGAGGAGCACTTTGTTTCAATGTTTGAAGGGGTTGAAAAATCTCCATGAGATGCTAGAAATAAAATAAATCACTGTCAGGAATGAAATCATGTTTGAAGAATCCTCATGGCGGTCAGTGTGGCTGCTGGAAGTCTGTTGACGAGAGCAATAAAGGTACTGAGATCGTGTTAGCTACATTTCCTATCTGATAGAGCTGAAAGGCCCAAAAATTCATATAAAAAAAGAGAGGCCAAAAGCAGATAGCACCCTCTGCTGGTTAAAAAGTATTTATGTCTCATCGATTAAAATTGTCCCTTTGCAATATGTTATTACTGAAAATACAATAAAACAAGGATTTAAAGGCACGGTTGGTAATTTTCTAAAAACTAGCATGATTTTGAAAGTAGCATTCCCTCAGTGCTTTGTCTACACCCACCCCCTCCTCTCTGTGCTCCCTCTAAAGCCACGCCCCCTCACTTACATGCACAAGCGCCATTGCTCCAGAAGTGGACCTCAGCTCATCTCTTGCATTGTTAAGAAACTACGTCGTCTCATGTCTCATTCAGCGGTAAGTAAACTCTCAGTATAAACTCTGTCATCAGTGACACGCTTTGAGTTTGGACTAGTGCACGCAAGAGGTAGAGAGCGAGCAGGGAGACAGGGAGGCGTCTGATTGGTTCATCAGATTGGTACCTCGTGGCAGACATTGGTTGAAGTTTTTACAGGCTTACAACTGATACAGATGATGGATTTTCTTTGTTCTTTTTTCAGAGCACATGAGTTATTAATTTCTGTCAGGACCTAAAGACAACTTCAACCAGAAGTTTATCTTGAGGAAATTACCAACCCTGCCTTTAAATTCTGCCCTGTGACCTAGTGGCTGGTTCACATGCTCCATGTGCAGAGGATGTCGTCCTCCAAGCAGGCTTCAAGTCTGACCTGTGCCTCCTTTCCCGCATGTCATTCCCACTCTCTCACTCTCTCTCTCTCACTCCCTGATCTCTGACTCTATCTTCTGTCCTGTCTCTAAAAAAATAAATAAATAAATAAATCTTCAAATTGAAATCTGTCCTGAACATTCTGTATGATCTTGGCAAGTGTTTTTGTTGGACATGTTCACTCAAGATGGACTTAAAGAACACACCCATATCTGCACTATTGACTCTCCAGGGCACAAACTGCACACACACACACACACACACACACACACACACACACACACACACACACACACACACACACACACACACACACACACACACACACACCCGCTGTCGTCTATCACCAGAAACATCACCCGCCACCGCAGACGAACTGACGGATCGATTGGCTGGACGTTAGTCACCGTTTCACCAGGAAGAAGGCCCCTCTTCTGCCCTGATAAGAATCGCTTACATCCTTCGAAAATAAATAAATAAACAAATAAATAACATCCAGTGTGGCTGTGATTGGATTAAAGAGAGAGGGGAAGGACATGACGAGCCACCGTGAGGTATTGCCCAACAAATTGGAGCGAACAGTCGGGCCAGAGAGTCCATTTTGGGGCGTAATTTACACAGTGAGGAGCATGAGCTGAATCTAATGTCATTTCCATCAATTTTGCATTTTGGACGTTTTCTCCCCCCAGGCTTTTAGCGATCGGTTGAGTCGTCTGGCAGAGAACAGCCGGCGAGTATTACAATGTCAGAGACGACATTTAGCACAGCAGCAGAGTGAGAGGTGCTTCTTTATGGCGTGGTGATTGCGGTGTGTGTGTGCATGTTGCAGCTCCATCCTGCAAATGGCTAACAATATGCTAATAAGGGGGTAAGAGTACAGGATCGGCCCAGACAAACCGCTTTAATGGATGTTTTATCTGCAGGTCGAGAGTCTCGTCAGCCGCCAGCGCTCCTGACAAGACGTGCCAAGTCAAATTTAGCGATAAGGCTCTTTTAACAAACAGGCCACAAAGTGCTTCGGGGGGGGGGACAAAGGACGCCGCAGAGTCAGTGGTGAAATGTGGAACCTGTTTGCAAACAATGAGAATCTGCTCAGACGAAATACGCAGTGAAAAGCGACGTTGCCAGAGGACAAACGGAGACGACAGCACTTCCTGATAGAGCTCCGACTGATTTCCTCTCCCTGCCCACAAACGCTCTGATTTCAACCCAAGATAGAAAGATTCTGAAAGTCTCAAAATGTGTACCGACACACAGATTACGTTTGATATTTGTGGGATATCTTTAAAAAGAAGAGCAAAAGTTCTCAGACATTTTGTCCATTTTCTATTCCATTTAATGCTTCCATTTTAAACCCATGATAAATTACAGCGAGCAGCTACAAACTTGCAGCTACGCTGCAGGTCTCGTCTAAAAGTCTAATGTGAACTTAAGGCTGATTTACAAATTATGATTAGTTTTAGTTTTAGTTCAGAAAGGCGACTTCTCTCCTGCAGAGCCCAGATCAGCCTCTCTTTGCAGAGTTTAGTCTTCTCCCCTCAGGCAGACGGTACAGCCTGCCTGTGGTGAAGACCAAAAGGCATCGGGTCTCATTTATACCTGCTGCTATTTGTCTGTTGAATAGCAGTTGAATTCTAATTCCTTGCTCACTTTATTTTTTATCTGGATGCTGGAGCATCTCTGCTGGGCTTCATGTTGTATGTACTTATGCACTTGATGTTTGGATGATTTATTAGTGTTGTTTTTGTATTTTTTATGTCTCCAGCTGCAAAAAAATTCCCTGTGGGGACAATAAAGAGACATTTGACCTTTGACCTTAGTTTAAATTTGAATGTGGTTCTGTTTGGAAATCAGTTGAAGTGATTACAACATATCTCATTTGTGTTTTTGTGAGTGGATGAATAACGTCGGCTAAAAGA